TGTGTGTGTGTGTGTGTGTGTGTGTGTGTGTGTGTGTGTGTGTGTGTTGCACACTTGGACCAGCTCCTCACTAGAGTAGGTCCATATGGTCCATCTGGGCTCCCGTCCATTCATACACCATTTCCTGGTTCTGCGAGCCAATCAGGCAAGCCGCTGAGTCCAGCTGGCTGACCGCTTACGCCAGACTTCAGTGTCCCTGGAGATTTAGCACAGTTGTCACTTGTGGCAAAGTGGCAAAACCCAAATGTGACATCATTTTTTTCTTTGCTCAAGGAAAAAAAAACAAAGCTGTGTACAACTGAGGACTTTACATCAACCAACATGAATAGCAGCTGGCAGCGAGAAGGGTGAAATAAACATCTTGGGATTTGTGATTTCAGACACACTTTTGGCCATAACTCAAGGATTAATATGCTAATACACCAATATTTGGAAAAAAAAGACCAGTTTATACCGGCTCCTTCAAAAAACGAAATAAATACATTGAGAACATGTTATAAATGCAAAGTTGTTGGAAGTTGAAGGCAGACTGACAGGATCAGGATGGAGTTGAGCAAGAGAGCACAGTGTGTGCCATGAGCAGCTCTGTATAAGTGCTACAGCTGTGGGTCTCTATTAACCGGTTCTGGGTTGATGGTGGCTGACAGGGCAGCATGTCTCCAGGCTGGGACCGCTACGTAGACACCTGTCCAACAAGACTGTAGCTGATGGTGTGTTTCAAACTGTCCGTACTACATTCTCACTTTCTATGTGGTTTCATTTCCTCTTTTCCATTTTGTTTGAGTCCACTTTACATGCTTTTTCCCTTGTAGAGTGTTGTTCTGCTTTAGTTTCTGATATCTAATGTAGTGTTGTTTTGGTTAATTGGGACTATTCTCGGTCAAATGGTTGGTTGGATAAATGTCTCGGGTTTCATTTTGGTAGCTAATGCATAGCTTAAACTGTAAGAATGAAAGGGTGTTGAGGGCCTTTGCAAACCTTTGATCCTCATACCCTTTGACTGCAGAAGCTATTGTAGCGTTATTTGCATTCTGTCTATGCAGCTCTCCTGCTTCATGTTTCTTGGCTCTTCATTTTGACACTAAGCCATTTGACGTTCCCAATATTGCCCCAAATCCTCTCCGACTCTGCCTCAGAGCGTCTGCAACTCAGTCATTGTAAG